TCACTAAATTTTAACATTTCTATCACTAATTAAAAAATACCTTTCAAATCGCTGTTTGCAAATAAAAATATTTATTCATTTCTTAATAAATTTGCCGTACAGTTTATTAAAATAATTATGATTATGATTGTCGTAGTCTACGAATGTTGGAATGAGCAAACCTTTCATTGGGTAAATAAAAATGTATTTGTTAATAAAGTGTTGCAGTAAAATAAATAAAAGGGGAAAGGAATAAAAATCCTGCATGGCTTGTTTTCCTCGAACTAAGTCGAATTATTTTTAATCGGATTTAAATTTTTGCTGGAATATTTACTCCAGCAATGAGCACAAAACGTGTTTAAAGACAATTAAAATTGTAATAAATCTCCACAAATTTCAGCGATTCTATTATGGTTAGGCGAAAAATATTTATTAAAATTACTGTTACTAATTATAATTAATCACATAAATGGTATTAATTCATTTAATTTTGAAAATAATCAAAAGCGCAGTATGTTATACAGATCCTATTTCAAAATACAGTAGTTATAGAGACATAATTAATTACAGTTGTTATAATTTTAATCTTCAAATATACGTAATGATTTAATTTATGTTGATAACTTTTATCTCTGAAATTTAGAAATTTAATTTTACCTTTTCTTTTACTATGAAATTTTTCTACCTTTTAAGTATTTTCTTTTTAGTTATCATTTCGCTAATATTTTTGTAAATTTCTAAATTAAATTTGAACTTGTAATCAAAATTGGTAATTAATATTTGTAAGTCATCAATATTTAAAGGACCTGAACTTCTCCTAATACGATAAAAGTAAGCCATGTAGATATAACACTTTTTAACAATTTATTAACAATTATAGTTTCATAATTTGAAAAATCCTCTAACTCCTCAAAATTGTGTATAAATTATGCGACCATTCGAAATGACTATTAATAATCTTTAAAATCGGCTATAAAATTTATGTAAAGTCATTTAACCAAAACTATAACTCGAGTACTAAGGTGAGAATTTTAAAATTCCACTTAAATAATAAAATATGTTTCTTTGTCGCATTTTGTATACCTTAAGTATTATAATATTTGGTAGTATTTTATAGCTTAAGTATTATAATAATGAAATTGTAGTTACGTAAGAAAGCTTTATTGATTTCTGAAAATATAAGACACTGTATTTCTTAGAAAAAATTTTCTTCGTTACAAAAGTTTCAAGACTTATATACTTTTGGTAATGCTTTGTTTTCTGTCATATCGATGGTATACGAAATACAATGAGAAAATGATCGAATTGCAGTTATTTTTATATTTAACTAATTTTTAATAGCAAATTACGACAATATAACTGATGTACAACAGATGTGTCGAAACCCAAATTTTCAATTTTCAAATTTAAGTCTAAAATTGATCGCGAATCTTGATTCTGAGAAATATCCGAGGTTTTGAAACTTCTGAAACTTTCAAAACTCGAAGTGCTAATTTTATCTTTTAGGGAGAAAATTTGGGTTAAGTACTAAAGTCTTGTCACATTAAAATCTATATTGATTTTAACAAATTTCTGCTTTCATTCAATTTGAAAGTTCAGTTTATTCGCTTCTAAAATACATTCTTTATATTCACTTATCTTTTTCCTTTTTTTTTAGCTTAACATTTGCTGGTTTAGCAGTTCTTCCTTGTTACTAATATTAAATATTACTATAATAAAAGGAAACAAAATTTGAAAAAACTATTTTCAAGCACTTACAAATCTCATCGACCGCCATTTGCTTACATTCTTTAGTTATCAATTTCGAGAATATCGAATCACGAATAAAGTACAAAGTTTCAAATTCTCAAGGGTTCTTTCGGAGCTTCGACATTTCGAGAAACTCATCCTTAGGTATTACTATAACCAAATTTAGTATAAATGTTAAACAAATACTTGGAATTCTCGAAGGATTGAAAAATTCCATAGCATGACATCAGTCGGTTTGGGTACAAGACAAAGATTATCTTTTCAAATATCTAATACACAGGTAGTTAAACAGCTGAAGTAGTGGAGTGCAAAAATAGGTCTTATCAAAAGTAAAATATAACACACGTCTATATAAACCACATTCATTGTTTTTGCCTTTCATATCGATTTTTGATAACAGAATTGTTAAACTAGTTAAAAGTAACTTCTTACGGACATTTTGTTTCTGTCGTTATTGAAGACATGGAACTGTTTCTAAGGAAACTAATATTAATTATTATCGAGATTGAAACGTAATTACATGTATCTAATTACCTTTATCAAATTACTTCAATTATCATTACATACTTATACTATATTTATTATATTATATTTATATATAAATAATTATTATTAATTGTTAACATAGAACGTATACATATATACATACATATATATGTGTATAATTATAAAACAAAAATATGTTATAATTATAATATTATATTATATTTAGATGCATATCATAAAGTAGATTAGTATAAAAGAGTATTCTACATTTTACAAAGTATCCCATATACAGTTCCGTATATTGACCACCTAAAATAACTTCTAAAGCCTGTTCTAGAAAAGCACGTTTCGTATAAAAATTGTATGGTATCCAGTGGTGCATACAATGTTAAAAAGGTTTCTTTAAAGCAGTTATTTATTAACGAAATATCAAAGTGGTCTTGAATTCTATTTATATAGACTACCCGACTTAATATTTGAAAACTTGGTTAACTTTTGCAGAAAACCGTTAAGCTTTGTCCAATTTAAAGATAGGAATGAACCAGATATTTAAGAAAACGTTCAACACTGTTTTACTACTTACCTTAATTACCAGTAGCCGACTAAAGTGATGCCCTGATTGACCTGTACACAGCTGCGCAACTTGTTAATTCAGATTAATGATGAACGACTCTTAGCAGTCGTAACTTACAAATTTAATGTCCGTGTAAAACAGTCCTTGGTACATAATACAGAAGATAATGCAGTTTGCATTATTTCCCACAAATTTTACTTGTTTATACGAAAAATGAATACACAAAATAACACAAATAAAAAAAAAAAATGAACCAACGAGGTTCAAAAATTAACTACCATGATATATTCATGTGGTTTAAAATGTTCACGAAGATAGTAATTTTTTCAAATACTTTAACAATAGCAACGTGTATTACTAACCTCTTCCTCTGAAATCAAATTTGATTTATAATCATATGATTCCCATTTTTTCTGCCGAAATATAGCGTTTGGAGTTACTCGAGAAACATTGAGAATCATAGTGTGTGTTATCATTTTATGGCGTATTATGAATCACCTTCTGTGAAACAGCGATTAGTACGCCACCTATGTCACGCGTACCACCGATAGTGCGTTGAATATCCCCAAGTGGTATGCGAGTTGAATCAAATTATGTCAAAGTTAAAAATTATATACAGGGAGATACGTTACGATAAGTAGGTACTATTTACAAAGTGGTAAAAACAAGAAAAATAAATTAAGATCCACTACTACGGGGCATAGTGAAAAACAAAGAATATCGTGAACTATTAAAAACAATAAAGAAACACGAAAACTATATTATTATTGAATTAAACGGTAATTAAATTAAACAAAAGGCAATAAAAGACACGAAAACTAGTGCTTAACACTAGAACTACCAAAGGGGTTAAAATGACTTGTTTTGAACTTCTTATCTCTGTAATTGCTGAGATTATGCAGTTGTTTTTGGCAAAATTAATATTGATTTTCATTCGAATGTGATCGTAATTACGTATGCTTTTTTATTTTCATTACTATTTTAAATTTTATTACTATATTAAATATTCATTACTGATCGGTAGATCTAGTGTTAAGAGATGTAAAAGTGTAAAAATAAAAATAGTGATAAAATAAAGTTCAACTTGGAAAGAACGATTTTTCTTCACTTTCGCAGGTTCACCATCTCGGAAATTTTATACACTTTAAAAATATGTTCGATTTTTTGTTTTACATTCGTAGTTCAGAAGCTAAAGTATCCACCGTTTAAAACGAATTTCTCGAAGACTACTATAGACCGCGATACGTACGCTCTCAATATTTGGACGAAATCCAAAATTATACAACTTTTTACATGTTTAAAACATTCATAATGAAATGCCGAGTGCATAAGACTATTATCTAGTTCCTCGTGCTAGGGAAAGCAATCTAAATAGTAACATTTTCCCGACTCCTAATCTAAAAACCTCCTTCAACTAAATATTTATCTACAAAATTTTCTCTCTGAAGTTTGTATAGAAGAAAAATAAGAACACCGTTTGAAAATCTAAGATCTTTTCTTTATTTTTATAAATGAGTAGATGATTTCAGAAATCTGTTAGTATCGCAAGTACTCCCTAATATCCGGAATTCCTGTATAAAATATTTTTTCGTTATAAATATTTTAGAAATTATACGAGGTTGTCATATCACATAACTCGATGAATTTGTTTCATTTGTGGAACAATAACTTAACACAAATATAAAAGATAAAAAATTTATGGAAACTAAGTAGACATTTTGGAATCTATTTTGTGAAGCGGAAGTCTCTTCGTCGTTGGAACTCGATTGTTATCTAACATAAATAATAAATTTATGATCATTGCCGTTTCACTTACGTAGCTTGCATAATATTTAAAAGTCTTGAACACACCTGTAGATCTCTCGTGGCACACCGGTTGAAAACCGCCGTTTTAACACAATCACTGTCACAGAAGAATGACCAGTCAAAAATAGCATAAAAATTAAAACATAACGTGACATAATCCGCAGAATCAGTTCGAAATCCCAAGGACGGAAAACCCATATAATCCTCACGAATCGTATCGTAATTTTCAACAGTTATAACACCTATTACCCTCTCAACTGCTGCCAAAGACTAGCGTTATAGACTGGACGAAAGCCTAAAAGAATCGGAGAAATCGATCCGAGGCGTGAAAATTAAAAGGAAGAAAGTGTAAAGAAAGGAAAGAGAAGAAAAAGAGAAAGAACTGTCGTAAAGTAAATTCGCAAAGATGTTGTGCTTGGACATAAAGCTGGTCTCTCGTTTGCGAGGAGTCTCGTTGACGAGTAGCTCATCCACAAACGTGTCACCGGTCTCCTCGTCGGCGACCTCGACCTCATCGGCGGCTGCCGGTGTAGAGAAGTGCAAACGAAGCAAAGGAAGAAAGGAGAGCTGTGCTGGAAACGGGAGCTCGGTGACGGAAAGCGACAGCGACGAGGAAACCTTGCCTGCTGCGCACGAGATGATCCGCAGGAACAGGTCCAGATCGGTTTGCGTGTCCGCCTTGTCTGCCGCTCACTCCGGACATCTGCATCGACGGGCCAGCCATCACGTGTACGTTTCTTAATCATAGTTCTATCAATTTCCAATCTTCCAGCTTTTAATATTCAAACTTTACCGATCAATTCTACTGGACTAAATAAGAAATTACTAAATTTAAAGCCCAGTTAAAGAATTACGACGAAAGTACGGGTACGAGTAGAATTGCGGTTACTGTCGTAAAATGCTCGAATAGATTAATTATTTTTACAATTTCTGCGGGGAATTTTGAATAAATTCGCATAATGAATCAATGAAAAGAATTAATAATGCGACGAATGAAACGTAACAAATAGAAATCGAGTTTTCGCAGCTAAAATTCGGCCTTTGATCGCTGTCAATCATGTATTGCCAGCAGCGATGAACATTTTCAATGGAATATTAATTAATTCCGAATGTGACGACTTCAGATAGTAAACACAGCTTACGTAAATAGATGAAATGTAAATATTGCCGATTTAATTATCCATTGTATCGCAGAAACCGCGATTTGTATTCTTATTTTTACTATAATTTTTTAATGAAGATTTAAATGGCCTATTTTTATATAATCTTCTTTTTTTTTTTATTTAGTGCCACGGAATATATTGACAAAGTTTGAATATTAAAATCCGTGATACTCTATGTAATAATTTATATTAATGTTCAGGTATCGTACTGTTCGTGAGATTACGTTGTCCAACAAATTTTGCTTTCTTTCGATTTTGTAATATTCAGGTAGAATGTACAGGTGTCACGTTTTCTCTTGACCTTGCAAGAATTTGGAAGCGAAATTGCTGTATCAATCTCAGCTTTTGAAAAATTCTCTTTTTGTAGAAGCAACTAATCTTCGGGGACTTCGATTCGATAGTTACGGCACTGCGAAAGCCAGATAGGCGAGAGATGACGGCAAAATGCAATTCACGCGTTCTCGACATATATTTTCTCGATGTGACCGATTAAAAACTCCCTCGACATCTCTGCTGGGTAGCTTCTGTGTCAGAAATATCCACACAATGCAACACTGCGGAGTAAATTTGTATTACACGAGAAACACTTCGTAAATATGCAAAAATACGCAGAGCTTACGTACTTCGCCACTTTTATACTTAAATGGATATTCGTGATTATTTAGAATTAAAATATATTATATTCATGGACACTTAAATTATGTTTGGGAATTTCTCCTGTATCTTTTAAAACCAATTTGATCTTTCTAATGTTTGCAATTTTTTTCGTAATACCTCATTTTCTCTAAAAATCGAACGTTTTTAGAAAAATTGGAATTTTTCATAGACCGAGCGCAATAAAACAATTCTGCCTGCAAACTTCTGTTTAAGATGAGAATTGTGAGATGAGATTCGTGTTGGACAGTGTTATTGTTTTATATATTTGTTTATAATAGTATTATTAAACTATTTGTTTTTCAACATACAGTAATGCTTTTGTACGTGTCAATGTTTCATGAACATTCAACTTCAGTTACGGAAAAATTTTATCGACATCGTCAGTTCGACGTAAGATTCAGTTTAAAGCAAAGTGACTATCGATGCACTTCGAATCCCAATCATCTATTATGCAACTTGTACAGTGCGTGTCAGACTACATAAGGGCAAGAGAAGTAAATCGATCACAGAGACGAATTAAGAAATGAGTAGAGCCCTAGAGATTAAATTATCTGGACTCCGTATAAAAATTGGGAAGAATTTTTTCCAAATTATCAATTATCATAATAATTATATAAAACTTTCAATTAATTTCAATTATCTTAATAATTATATTAAGAACTTTCAATTATCATAATAATTATATAAAATTAATATACTCTTGTTTAAATAATAAGCATTAAGTTTCTTCAACACTTTTCATCTTATCGAACTAACTTTCTATATTTTATTAAACTTAACTTTCTATATTAATCTCTTTTCGAGGTCGCATTATCAATCAAGATCTCCGACTTTGCCCATACGTTAAAACGTCTCTGATGGATCGGTCCACCTATCATCCACGATCTTTCTTACACAGTCCAGCTGGTATGTGCGACCACCTTGGACAATAGTTTGGCTAAAACCGAAACTCTGTGCTAAATGGGCCGTCTTCCTTCCATTCTGACCAATTAAACCTGCATTCCTTCCGCGAGACTTCTTACCAGGCACGAACAATACGTACGGAGTAGCTCACGAGTGTTCGAATGCTATACATATTTCAAGGGTGCACTCTAACTCAAGAATTCTCATTTTAACGAAATTATGCGTGTATGTAAAACATAACGAGTTACGCATGCATGAACATTTTTATTTGCAGATATTATTGTACTTCGGGTAGATGAAATCGTAACTCAAAATTACAGTCTGATCTCTGCCTTTTTGTAAATGTAACTGTATAATAATACGAAATAAAATAAAAATTTACAAATAAAAAATGTTTAAATTTTAGCAATTTTATAATAAAAATTTTTCCCTGTGAGATCCCGTTTAAGGATCCGAAAAATTGTTAAAACTTTAATCATTGATTTTATTCTCTCGAAACCATTTTCTGCCGAGAAAGAGATTAATCCGCGTGTAACGCGCTATGCTTTACGTGTACGCAAACTTTCGTTAAAATTAGAAATTTTGAGTTAGAGAATTCTTTCGAAACACGGTGTTCGAACACATTCAGCCATTGTTTTATACCTATGTACGTGTAAAGGGAGGAGCGAAATGGCTGGGTTAAATAATTCCAATTCTTGGTGGCTGATCGCACTTTACTCGCCTCCAGTATTCTCTCGTCTCTCACATAAAACTGTCCACGTGAAACTGTCCCCAGTCGCTTCTCGGTTTGCCCCTTTTAAAGGTGGGCCTCCTTTGTCTATTCACCGATCGCCGCTGCGTGCTCCTTACTCACGTCGCCTTATCCATAACCGGAGCTCGCTTACTCTTATATACGTGTCTCCTCCACCATCTTTGATGTCAGCTGGTCGCTGGTATCCTCGGTGGTGGCGTAGCTAGATGGGACGGTAGGAAAAGGAAGGGATGCGTTTCGTCCTGGGCCTGCTAGCGGACTCATCAGTAAAGGCTACCCTAGCAGGTCCTGACTTAGACACTGGGATACTATTGGAAGGTCGGAAAGTTATATATATAGAAGAATTGAGAGTTTTCTGAGGACTTGCGATAAAGTCCTCGAAGTAGGAATCCACCTAGCGGTGAGGGTAAGAATGATGGTCGCTGCATACGTATCACTGTAAAAGCCTGAAAATTGATAGATTATTAGCTAAATCCTAACATTTGCCACGAAGAGGTCTTAAAAGTCCGGAAACAGCTTGTAAATGCTCCCACCTCGGATTTTTACCAAATTATTTCCTTGAATGTTGGGATTTAACATTAGCAATTGTTAAAAATCCGCTTTGGTTTAAATTTCGTTTCATTACGTGGAATGAATTTAATTACAACTCCCTTGTTTAATGTTTCTTGACTTTTCTGCCACGGTTCGCATAGGCACAAATGTGCGAGCTTGCTCATGAACATTTGTCAGTGAATCTTCGCATTTGTAGAAATAATTTGGTAAAAGCACGAGAGTAAAGTATCGGGTGTCCCAAAATTCACGCAAGAAGTAATTTTGATAACAAAACACAGGTTTTTGATTAAAAGTTGAAAACATTGCTCGACAATGAAGATGCGTTGTTCTTTCGCGTAGCGCTGTATTTTTAATATCCTTGAGCTGTCAGCGGTCACACTGTCTTCTTTTTCGTTGGCAACACTTTGTCATATAAATGCCGTAAGATTGAAATCTTGCATGAATTTTGGAACACTCTTTATTTATATACTTTTTCGAACTTTTATTATTACGATAAATAACAGGATTCACGTAAAATCTAGGATTTATCAAGTTTCGGAATTTCGCAATAACACATGCACTAGGTATTACGATATTATTATTATCAATTTAAAATCTTTTAGATCCTTCATATTCGATTATATTTTTATCAGAAGAAATCCCAGATAAATATATTAAACATATTTTTACAAAGGAAAAGTCAAAATTTGACGAAATAGATTTTCTTTTATTGGATTGTATTTAAATTTCTGTAACAGGAACCCGAATCTCCGAATTGGACGAACGATATGTTTACCCAATCGTTATTCTCATTCTCCGTATCGAGTGAACAGAGGCGATTGCCACTTATGGAGACATTACTGTACAGTGACGAATAACCTTTCTTCTGCAGTGTGCCAAAATTGAACATTTAAGATTCCATGCGAGTCACGACTCCTATGGAATGTACAATTCGCTGAAATATTAACACTTCGACCAAATGGAATTGTCAATGTTTATGGACTATACAATATATATGGAATATACAATAGTTAAACAGCTGCATGTAAACCATTGACCACGGATTGCTCATTACTGTTGTGCAGCGATATCAGCGTATATGGCCACGACTTGTGGTCATATACCAAATGTGTATTTTCACGAATTAGCTGATATTATCTCACGTTTGCTCAAGTAGCCACGTGTATGACAAAATAAAGGTTTTAAGTAAGAGAAAGAGTGATATATGAGTCGTTCACTGCACAAATCGATTAACTTCACTTTTTGAAAAATTTTAAACTTAAATGTCAAAGCACTTGGTATAGTCATAACTTTTTATATTTAAGATTTTTCAAAAAATGGAGTTAATCGATTTGCACAGTGAACGGCTCATATATCGAAATGTTAATATTTATATACACAATATTGCTTATTCTTTATCGTACATAATTCATATATATAGTAGATAAGCGAATATTTTTAAATAATAAATTTTTCACTGTGTATTCTTTAAAAGGATGTACAATTGTGCACATGCATTTATGAAGCCATATATACGTGTATACGTTTAAAATTATTCTACATGCAAAATAAGTTCAAAAGGAAGAATAAATCTTTGCATTTGAGGCTTCGTTTTCTAGAAATATAAATTTTGAGATTCATCAAGGTGCTGTTGCAGTGTCGTGTACTAACTTTTGAATATTTATTGGGTTTCCATCTCTGTTCGTTTTCGCATTATAAAACAC